CTAGCACGAGGGAAAATGAAATAAGGTAACTCGCCAGAGGCGTGATTATGGTGATTTGGTGATAACTTTAAGAAGGTGTTTATTATCGGGTTAGTGATCTTATGCGCCATTACCTCGACATTAATTTCGTAACCAACCTTGCCCAAGTTACGTCCTTTAAAAAATTTTTTAAAAGACTAAGAGAGGCTTATGCATACTCACTTTTATTTTGGGTGGGCTTATTTTTATCAATGACCTTCAGCCGATCAAGCCTCATATGCCACTCTGAGCCTTGAAGTGTTTTTTTTTGAGGCTTGTTTCTTCAAATCTTCACTTTGGCCCGTGACATTTTAGTGAAGTTTTGGTTTATTTGCTTCTCAAAATTTATTGATCGGTTAGAGTATGATATTAAAGTACGATATTAAAAGAGGATACAATGTCAATTACAGTAAAAGACCAAGAAAATTGGGATAAAGCTAGTTCTACAGAAATCATAAATCATGAAAATGTTGTTATCGAAGATAATATCAGAGATGAGATGTTATTTCATGAGGATCTCAATGAATGGGCCGAAAGAGGATATATTATTCGGCAAGCAATTCCTATTTCATTGGCATGCCTATTACAAACTTTCTTACCTTTTATTAGTGTATTCGCACTAGGTCACTTGGTAACGTGTTGCTTTATAAATCAAATAACGAATTTCCTTTTAGTAAATAAATTGGAAAATTGATCTAATCGAAATTAAAAATTTTGATTAGGGTCCAGTAGAGTTGGGCATCTCGACACTAAGTATAATGGTAATAATCATCATATTTTCAGTATTTGATTTGATAGAACCGATTGTTGATTAACTCAGTGGGTCAAATGTTTTCTGGTAATCCAAACTATTTGGGACATTGCAAGCCTGTGATGATTAGTATCCTGTTAAGTATTTACCGTGCTATTACTATTGCCGAAGCTGTATGATGCTATTCATCATGCAGTTTGTGACTTCCCAAATAGTCGTCTTACATTACTAGTACCTTGATAAGTTGGTGTGTGCCATACTATCAAATGCCTATCGCTATTGATTAAATAGTCTACATGATCCCATATTAGTTACAAATACAAGATGCTAAAACAGGCCGGTTTTAAGGTTAATTTTGACCAGCATTAAAGAAAATAGCTTTACATAAATTATTTATTTCAGACGTTATTATGTTAACTAACATATGTAGTTCAATAACTTTATTTTGTATGCAAATATCGGTATATATTATAGCTCATACAGAAAGAATTTTCATAGGGCAATTCTGTCCTGGTCGGTTGGTCTGGCATTAACAAATTTACCCGAGATCATTTTAGTGCTGCCAAGGCAAAACCTGTAAGTAAATTATCAGCGTGGAGAACTTAACCTTGGGAGGATTATAATATTACGTATTGTGACAGATCATAATGAAATCCAGATCAAAATAAAATTATAATATAAAATCTCGAAAAATAAAATTTTTGGGGGTGCATTTTTTAGGGCTAGGGGTTAGGGTTAGGGGTTAGTTTAGTAAAGTTATAATAAACAAGTATTTGTGGGTTTTAGAAGGTCAACAGGTTGAGTAGAAAATGTAGATTTCATTTTAAATTATGATCTGCGACACGTATTAGATCTCATATACGATCAGTGCTTTGGCCATTTCTAATCTTATTTATTTTAAATAACGACACTAATTCTATATATGATTTAATACGCAATATTACTATTATCCCATGGTTAAGTTAGTATTTATTTACAGGTTTTGCCTTGGCAGCACTCACTTATAATGCAAAAAATTCCGCATGATAGTTTTGCCACAGCGATGGGAGTTACTTATTGTAATGTCGTCCATGATCAGTGTCTAAAATTCGAATGTACGGATCCAATCAAATCGTCTAATTTTTGAAATCAAACGATTTGATTGGATCCACACATTCGAATTTTAGACACTGACCATGATTCAGATAGATTCCGACTTGGAATCTTGGAAGTTTACCCTTACCTCGGATAATCAGTTTAACATATTGAGAGTTAATCAAGTAAATGGTTTACATAAGGGAATTTTATATATATTTTTTTCTTACAAATTTATAAACTATTTCATTGCCTAACAAACAATATTTTAACTAATTAGTGGTATAATGTTACATTTGTGGCATTAGTAAATGGTGCTGCGACAGCGCTTGATACCCTTTGCTCGCAAGCTTATACATCTGGCAATATGAAAATGATGGGAGTATATTTGCAACGTGCTACTATAATAGAATTGTTAGGATTTATCCCGATCGCTTGTATTTGGTGGGAATCAGAACAAATCCTGATCTTCATTGGCCAATCACCTGAAATTTCTTCAAAAACTGGTTTATATCTCAGATATTTATTAATTGGAGCACCTCCACTCTTATGTTTTGAAAATTTGAGGAGATATTTACAAGCCCAAGGTAACATAAATCAAACAATATTAATTAATTAATATAAATGAATTAATTAATAAATGAATCTATGCATAGGGATAATGAAAGCTAGTACATATGTATTAATAATCTGTTGTATAATTGATATGTGCTTAAATTTTATGCTGGTTTTGTATCAACCGCTATCGCTTGGTTTTATTGGAGCACCTATTTCCACAGCTATAACCTCTTGGTTCATGTTTTTCTTTCTTGTCATGTATATTAAATACATTGACGGATATCAAGCCTGGGGTGGA